TATCTCAGTTACTGAGCTCGGACCGGTCTCGGCTCAGTTTTTTAAGGGTAGTGTAAACGGGGTAAAAGAGAACAGCAATCAGGGCCCTGCTGTTCAGGGTTAGATTCAGGTTAGCAGAGCTGGATTAACTCTCTTCTGTCTGTTGCAGAATGCAGGTTCAGGAAAAACTGCACTCAACTCGGTTGTAATTGCAGGAAGGAGGAAATACTGCGATCAGGTCTTTCTGAATCGCAGGACAGATAGTCTGGCTCGTTCCAGTAACCAGACTTCTCTGGAGGGATTTGGTTGCTACTTAGCATAGCCTTCAGCTGGGAAGTGCTTTGCACTCAAGCCTTTAGCAGCTGCGTGCTGCTGGCAACAGGAAGTTGAAGTCTGTCTTTTAAAAGCTCTGCCGGAGGGATGTGTCTTCAGAGGGGAGTGGTTCAGGTAGATCAACAAGGGGCAGTCAGCAGAAGCATCACCTGTCAGTGAAGGCTTCATCACAATAACATACTCCTCAGATTGTCTACTTGAAGGTTCTGCACATTTTCTCTCCTTTCGACATCAACATTATGGTCAAAACGGCTGAATTACCTGTTGGCCAGTAGAAACCCAGGCTTGCCTCTCTGAGCGCTGTGTTACACACCGACTGGCATCTCTCTACTAACCTGCAATCTTTACAATCTGATAATCAGGAGGTGTTTTAAGCTGGCCCAGGACAGAAACAAACCCTGTGTGGTCTGCCAATGAGCATTCAGCTCTGGGTTGCCTTGATTTGACTGTCATCTTTAAAGCCGGGTGTACACTGTATGATATTTTCAATCGTTGCACGTAGCTGCAGCTCAAACTTTACGACAAAACCACAGGGTTTAAAAGTTCACAGCTCACAATTTTTGTTCTCAGACCGTATTACCCGACCCTCTGATGCGATCTACCTGCTCACACTGTACATCTAAAAACCAGGTGGGGCTCAGCTCTGCAGTGAGAAGGCGCTACTCGCACTCGTCTATACGGAGGCCAAACCAGTAGAAGAGGAATATGAAGCTCACTAGAATGAAACATGCTGCCTTGGTAATTTGGGCAATTTTGTGCTGAAAGCCCTAAAAAGAAAAGGCGACGACGTATTTGGACAAAGACATGGCTGAGCAAACGTGGCTACTACGGTCTGTCAGTTTGACAGAAAGAACTCCATTTCACTCATTGCACCCCCGCCATGCTGCCGGGTTTACATCTGAGAGGAAGAAGAATGTATCTATAGGACTATGCAGCAAGCACAGCCTTCTTTTCTGTCCCTTTTGCATTCCATCTTAGGCCCAGCATTTTTCACATCCAGCCTCTGTTTGATTGTTTGAGTTAAATCCTGAATGTCCAGTGAATAAAACTTTTAACTTTAGTTTGTACACGTCCAAACAGACAGCCTCCCTCCTCCTGTTAGCTCTCTCTTCATATGTTGACAACCTTGGTGTGGCCTTTGATTAGGAGGTCATGTATAATTGCTGGGCATGAACAAAGACCTGGGATAATCTATATGGAAGCAAATCGTTACCATATTTCAAATGAAAAGGCATTTTCAGAAATGCTTTTTCTTTTTAAGAATGTGGCTGCATTGTTTGACTCATAAATGAAGTTAGTAATAAATGTTTGCATTTTAATTTTCTTCTTAAAGACTGCTCATCCTTTTACTTAATTAAAATGGAAAAGAAAAAGACATTTCAGTTCAATTTCAATTCAGTTTATTTCTATAGCGCCAGATTCACATCACATGTCATCTCAAGGCACTTTACAGTTCAACCAGATCATCCAGTCAAAT